TCTTGTACTAGCTGAATCCGGGAGATCGTTGGAAAGTATTCCAAAAGACATTGCGGCATCGATCGATGCCGGAAAGATACCCGGATCGATCGTGAAGAGGTACTTGGAACTGGAGAAGTCCGCCGTGTTCCGATGGTTGCTTCAGTTTAGTGGGTTTAAGGAACGATTGCTTGCTGATGATCTTTTCTTAACTAAAGTTGGAATTGAATGTGGTGTTGGCATCTTCACTAAGGTTTGTTCATGACTTCATGTTCTTCCTCTGTCAATTTGCTTAAATTACGAAAATTTAAGATGGATTTAATATATATTTGTTACAAAGATCTCTAATTTCTCTCTTGTTCTTAAAAAATGGTGGTGTTGTAGAGTGCTGCAGAGTTGGAAAAACGAAGGGAAAATTTCACCAAGGAGCTCGATTTTGTTTGCGCTGATGTGGTATGTATTTCAATCTACAAATTTATTGTAATTTGCGTTAACGAATTTGATGTCTTGAAGAACTTATTTTTGTTAGTTGTTAATTGTGAAAAAATTTTAGAATCAATAATATGTTAATTAATAAAAGTTTGTTTCAGATAATGGCGATAATTGCAGATTTCATGCTTGTATGGCTTCCAGCTCCTACGGTTTCTCTTAGACCACCGATTGCAGTCAGTGCTGGAGTTGTTGCCAAGTTCTTCTCTGGATGCCCCGATAATGCTTTTCAGGTTCTTCATTCTTTTTTAAACGCCTTTCACTAATTTATTATTTCTCTCTCCAAAACTATAATAATTTATGTTTGACAAAAAAGTTGCAATGAGTGCGGTTTTAATTTTAATTTTTTTTAGAAATTGATATTGAGTTAAATTGACTATTTTACCCCATATATAGGTTGCTTTGGCTGGTACATCCTATTCATTCTTGCAGAGAATGGGAGCCATAGTGGTATGTTTGTATGATATGATTTTTTATTTAATTAATTTTTCCTTGAAATTATGAAGCTTTAAATATTTTGATTTGGTTTTTGTAGCGTAATGGGGCGAAGCTGTTTGCTGTTGGAACCGGTGCATCACTTGTAAGTCATCACCGTAAATATGTTCTAGTAAATTTTAATATGACAAATTTTTTTTTTTTTTGAATACTTTCTAATCGTTACATAATACATACATCTTTGGCAGATTTAGAAATTATCCAGATTTAAAATCATGCACAAAATACTTATTTATCTAACTAAATTAACATGAGATTGCAAAAATAACACGAGATTGAAGGAGTGTATTTACGTCTTTTGCATACTTTTTGCGTGAGGACAAAAAGTTAAGAATTTTTGTACTACTGACATCGGAGTGAGTCCAATACATGAACACAGTATAGATAGACCTATTCTATCTGTTTTATAGGTTTTTTATATGAGAAATTAAATATCTACAAATCATTCTACCTTTTGTTTCTACAAATCATTCTACCAATTTAAATAATGATATGTGTCATATTAGTATCCTAAAATATCTTTAAATTTCATTAAATGAACATTAAATGTTACACATGTCATCATTTAATTGGGTAGGATAATATGTAAGAATAAAATATAGAACGATATTTAATTTCTTTTTTTAGGAATTTTCTAATATGTGTCCTAAGGACACATATAAGAACTATTAAATATCATAAATATTATCATAATTAAATGTGAAATTTATTTATTATAAGGAATATTGCCATAATTAAATGTGCAATAAATTATTCCTTATAATAAATGAATTTCACATTTAATTATGGTAATATTTATGATATTTAATGCTTCTTATATGTGTCCTTGGGGCACATATTAGAAAATCCCTCGTTTTATATATACTTCTTGATGCACTAATGACGATTGATCAATAAATTATCGTAAGGTAGAAATTGTGAAATTTTAAATTTTGTTATGATGTGTAATACTAGTGATAATCATTCATTTATACTTTTGAGTTTTGGTTTTGTAATGAAAGTTATACTTTTATTTTATATCAGGTGGGAACTGGTGTAACAAATTTATTGATAAACGCAAGGAAGGCCATTGATAAATCTTATGCTGTTGAAGCCGAGGATCTCCCCATTTTATCAACAAGTGTTGCTTATGGTGTCTATATGTCGGTTTCTAGCAATCTTAGGTATACTTTCATAACACTCTTTAACTCATTAACTATTTTAATTTTATAGATTTTTTTAGTCATTACGTGAAACTACTTTGCTATTTCATGTAAAGGTTTAAAAGACATTATTCTATTCCTCTTGCCTTCTCTGTTTTTTTGTATTTAAAATCTTTTAAAAAAGGCCAAATGCAAGAAATATCAATGTGCTATTTCAATTATGTACATGGTTTTGAGTTTTTCTTTTTATTGTACAGGTACCAAGTATTGGCAGGAATAATCGAACAGAGAATGTTGGAGCCATTGCTACACCAACAAAAGCTCGTATTGAGTGCCATTTGCTTTGCAGTCCGAACAGGCAACACGTTTTTAGGGTCATTAATGTAATAAATCTTGAAATTTTACACATTTTGTTACTAAAAAACTTATTTTAATCTCCTCCCTACTAATTCTTAATTATTATTTCCTCAACAGGTGGGTGGATTATGCACGTTGGATCGGAATTCAAAGGAGCAGGGAGTGATCAAAGGATCTTTGGATGTTTACTGTTGTTTTCACTATTCGGATTATGTACATGCATGCAAGGGTACATGGTTAAATAATGATAATTTGTCATTTGGATCACATTTCTACACTTGTGTGATGGATGTACATTTGTTTGTAGAGGTTATTTAAAGTATTTCATTGGCCAAACTTTCTTGTTATCTTATGGTATTTCGGAAGGTATTTTTGCTATTTTTGATGAATTTATAACAATAACCGTCTTCCCATTATGGGAAATCACAATTCGAACACAAGGACATGACTACAAAGCCCTGTTCCATCACATCCTTGGGTTGATATTAGCATGGAATTTGTGATGGGTTACCCTCTTTGTGGCTGTTGATCATTTTTTTTTAAGATGGTGCACTTTATTCCATGTAAAAAATAACAAATATAGTTAATGTTGCTCGAATATTCTCTTGGGATGTCTATCATTGCATGGTGTTAGGGGTTGGATTTTGCATCCAGCATCGTGCATCTTGAACACGTTTAAGATCTTAAATCTTTTTTATCTAACAATTTTGAATATTACTATTTTTTATTCATTTATTTTATAGAGACGAACCAATTATGAGTAAATAAGACCAAATCAACCAAACAAGTCAACGAATGTTCAAGAGAAAAGATCAAGGATAATCCTAGATTTCTAGCAAAGTTTGTTGTTGCTTGCTTTGTATAAATAGCAGATAAGATGGCACAATAACATACACTATTGACACTATTATTACTGATTAATCTTTGTAGTCCCCTTTTTTGATACTCTTTGACTCTTTGTAGTTCCCCTTTCAGATACTCTGTGCTTATAATCGTTATTAATAAAAGAAATAAAGGTAATGTGACTTTGTCACCTTCCGAGGTTTTATGTCGAAACAGTGGGTTTTCCTCGAAAGATCCGGCGTCGTTTGCTTTCTCTAATGTTCCAACATCTCAAAACACTTGACAAACATTACACCACTTAAAACGAATTTGGTTAATATAACTTTATTTATTTTTTTGACCAAAACAATTTGGCACCCATTGTAGGGCAATCACATTTAAATCGACAAGAGTATTTTAATTTTTGATCATCTTTGAAAATTTCCAGTAACATTCCTCAAAGAGGAGGGAGTCGTTCTCTCCCAACCCACTGAACCTACTGTCTCATCAATTTTTATCTTTTCTTTTTCTTCATCTTTTCCAACCCAAAACACACAAAAATTCTATCTTTTTCAACCCACTCAATTAAAAAAAAAAAAATACAAAACAACAAAAATACAAGTTTTAAAACATATGGTACAAGAGAAAATGAGAGAAAGAAAATATAGAGATGATGAGGTGGGTTAGTGAAACCAATTAACCAACCTGTTGATGCGGGAGTGGTACCTCCGGTAAAGCTATTGCTAATTAAAATTTTACCTCTAATTGTTTTGTATTTTTTTCAATTGAATGGGTTAAATGAGTTCAAAAAAATAGGGTTTCCGTGTGTTGTGAGTTGGGAAAGATAAAGAAAAATAAAAGAGAAAAAATGATATGATAGTGAGTTCAGTGTGTTAGGAAGGAATGACTCCCTCCTCCCTCATAATGTTGACCCTACCAAATTCAACTTCCAGCACCATCCCTATCATTTCTTTTGCAACCAACCTTCATCCACCACTCATAATGAGTAATCCTCCAAAAAAGAATAGAGATGCTTATAGGAAAATGACATTCTCTAGTATGAGAAGTGAGATGACTTAGTAAGCTCATATTATGATCTCCAATAACGAGATATTCTCAATGTTTTTATAGATGAAACAAGAAAATGGATAACACAGAAAACCAACAAGATGCTGCTTGAGCAAATAGAGAAGTTAAAATTTGAAATAAGAAGACACGTTGAATCTATACCACCTACATCTTCATTCATGCGACCCAGGATCCTGAATTTTAAGACGGGTAGATCTTTAGAGAATCATATAAAGGATACTCTTCCTATGTAGGCTGCAATCATGGCAATGCTCGAGCTAACTCTCTCCAAGATCTTGGAAGAATCTCCAATACACCCTTTCAAACCCAAAAACGACAAGGACTCTTAAATTGCAAAATGAATAGCAGGATTGAGGAGGATGTGTCGACTTCACCTCCACATCTTCAAGATCATTCATATCATCCATACTTAAACAAAGCACATCTGTTTTCACAAACAACTCATTAAGTTTAAAGTCCAATACTTCACCTTTATTTGATATCAACTACTTTGCTGTTACTATAAGATTCATCTCATTGTAGTTATCATCCATAAACTCAGACGCATTTCCAATATAAAATTCTTCAAGTTTGACCAAAATTTTCAAGACACCCTATTCTATATGAGGACCACCACAATAGCTCAGATCAAGTAGCCTTAGCCTCTTTAAATTTCTGACTGTGGAAGGTAACCATAGAATTAACAAAGCTTAGCACTTCTAGATTCAACATATTTCCAATAGAAGAGCAATCAAACATCCTTAATGAACATTCATGGAGATGAATCACTCGAAAGTTGGTGGAGCATTGAGGTGATGAGGGAAGCATTGGATACTTCATTTTATCGTATGATATAACCTGGAGCTTTTCCATTCCTTCATAAAAGTCTTGAGGAAACCTCAACGACTTATCTACATGCATAAGTTTAATCCGCTATAACTACCTCAACCATATAATTAAACATTTTATTTTCTTTAGCAACCTTCTTCAGTCTTTGCATCATTGTGGTCTTCCCCACTCCACCTATTCCACATAACGCTATCATGTGGGATGTGTTGTTTGGTTCAAGTGCTTTCAAGTAAAAGTTTTTTCTCTTGACAACTAGGAACGTTTTTTACTTTTGCATCGATCTTTTCTACTTTTTCCAACCAACTCCTAACTTGATATGAAATCTCAAGACGAGTTCTAATGTTCCTGTCCAAGTGGTCTTCTTCAGTTTGTCTTGCAGCATCCAACTCCCTCATTTTTCTACTCGTATCCCTCACATGTTTTGTGCTGGAAATGAAGTAGCACAAATGTTTCTTAACAGGTTCCATAAGTGTCTCGGCAACTGGTTTAAGAATGACATTAACATCATCCATTGTTGGAAATTCTTACTTGTGTAAATACCTACATAGTAACCAACAATTTGTGAGATGAAATTTGATGAAAATTTGTAATGGATTGGGCATTTAAATGCATCCTATATTCATTCCATTGAGTAAGCTTTGATGTAATCGTAATATAAGTCCATCTCATGATCTAAAATGAATTTAAAGATAAAGCTTAAAAAAAATTAAAGCTAGATAATGGTAGTACTAGGAATCAAAAAAATGGTTTATCATTGATTAATTAAAAAAAAAAAAACCAAACTATGATTATTTTAAAGAAGATGATAGTGATTACATATGTTAGATGCGTGAAGTCTTCATTTTTTCCATGGAAGACTTTAATAACATAGATAAAGGTGGATAGATCTTGAACAGATGAAGGAAATGGGAAAAATATATTTTATGCGATACTGTGGTATCAAATACCCTAAAAAGTAAAAAAACAATAACCCAGATCCCTTCACAAAAATGGATTTTATAGAGGCACCTCTTCAATCAATCTCAATAGAAAGATAAATATAATACATGATGCAAAGCTACTGATTCTTTAATAGAGCCAACAAAGAAACTTAATTTCCTAGGCGATGATACAAGAGTTTGCAAAGCAATATTTCGTACATGAGCAACCTGATACGTGTCTGGACTCTGGTTGTGTTAAAAATAATCCAGCTACATTCAGAGGACTCAAGAACCACAGCCCCCTACCTTTGTCGCAGAATTAGTGAATCGGAATCTGGGAAAGAAAAAAGAGACGTTGGAAGTTGGAAGAAATGATTGAATGGGAATGAGATTAATTAGGTCTTCGTAATGGAGACTATCGAGTGATTCTGATTTCCGGGCCGGATGTGTGCGTGCGTGTGTAAATAAAAAAAAAAAAAAAAAAAAACTAGTCCATTTTCATATTTTGGGCTAAAAATAGCCAATTGCATGGCCCAGTTATGCATTTTGCTTAAAAGTTTACCCAAAACTATAACCAAATAATATTATTTCTAGTTCTCATATTTGAGATCTTACGAGATTGACTGCACATTAAAAAAAAATAATAACAATTAAAAGGAGTATGATCTGCCATTTGGTGGGTATTTTTCCTTGTTTTGAGGTTTTTCATATCAAAATAGTCGGAGGTCTATCGAAGTTCATCACATAGTTCTCCAAAGTTGGATAGAGATTTTTTTTTAAGTAGGACGGAGGATTAAGTTCGGAAAAGTCGAAGTTTAAGGTGCATTTGGTTGTGGAAAAATTTTCGGTTGCATTTAGTTACGGAAAAACAATTTTCATTTTCCGTTTTTTGTTTTCCCTTTTCGATTTTCGTTTTCCGTTTTCATTTTTCATTGAAAAATTTAGAAAACGCGTTTAGTTAAACTTATTCATTTTTCATTTTCAGTTTTAGAAAATTAGAAAACGTGTTTAGATTTGTATTTTTTTATCGATTTTCATTTTAAAAAAAACGGTAGCGGTGGTAGGGAGTGGGTGGGGGCAGTGACGGTAGCGAGTCGGTGGCGATGGTGGTAATGACAGACAATGGTGGTGGCGGTGGCAATTGTGTCAGTGGTGGTGATGGTGGCAGCAGCGGTGGTAGTGGTGCTAGTGACGGGTTAGTGGTGGTGATGGTAGGTTGGTGATTGTCGTGGTGGTGTTGGGTGGATGGGGGTGCGAGTGTGTGTTTGTGGGGGTAGGTGTAGGTTTGTGTGTGTGTCTGTGAGGGTGGGGGTAGGGGTAGGTGTGTGTGTGTATGTATGTGTGGGTTGGTGTGTGTGTATGGATGGGTATGTATGTGTGTGTGTGTGTTTGTGGGTTGGTGTGTGTGTGTGGGGGGGGGGTGGGTGGGTATGTATGTGTGTGTGTTTGTGGGTGTGTGTGTGTGGATGGGTATGTATGTGTATGTGTGTGTGTAGGGGGTGTATGTGTGTGCGGGTGGTGTGTGTGTGTGTGGGGGGGTGGGTATGTATGTGTGTGTGTTTGTGGGTGGGTGTGCGTGTGGGTGGGTATGTATGTGTATGTGTGTGTGTGTGCGGGTAGGTGTGTGTGTGTGTGTGGGGGGGGGGGGGTGGGTATGTATATGTATGTGTGTGGGTTGGTGGGTATGTGTGTGTGCGGGTCGGTGTGCCCATGTGTATGCGTGTGTGGGTATGTATGTATGTGTGTGTGTGTTTGTGGGTGTGTGTGTGTGGGGGGGTGGGTATGTATGTGTGTGTGAGTGGGTAAGTATGCATGTGTGTGTGTTTGTGGGTTGATGTGTGTGTGTGCGGTTGGGTGTGTGTGGGGGTGGGTATGTATGTTTGTGTGTGTGTGTGTGTGGGGGGGGGGGGGGGGTAGGGGTAGGTAGAGGTGGATGGGGTGGAGTGGGTGTGTGTTTATAGAAAAATTTTGGAATTAGAACAATTTAGAAAACAATGATTACCAGTTTTCCAAAATTTTCCAACTTTTTTGTAATTTTAGAAAACGGAAAATTTTCATTTTCCATGAAAAATTTAGAAAAATAGACGAACTAAACGCGTTTTTAAAATTCTCATTTTTCTTGGAAAATTTTTCCGGAAAACGGCCAATTTTTCCGCAACTAAACGCACCCTTCATTTTCTAAGAGAATGTTTTCAGAAAATAGAGTTGAGTTTTCGTTTTCATTTTTCAATGAAAATTTTAGAAAACGCGTTTGGTTGAAATCGGGGGAGTTTTCTTTTTCCATATTAGAAATTTGCAAAAACTTTGGAAAACTATAAAAATCACTTTTCTAATACAATTTGGAAAACTGAAAATTTTCATTTTCTTGAAAAATTTTGGAAAATTGAACGAACCAAACGCGTTTTCAAAATTTCTGTTTTTCTTGGAAAATTTTGCTAAAAAACTTGAAAATTTTACACAATCAAACGCACCATTAATGTCTCCACGAGGAAAGGAGGTAATCTAGAGAGTCAAGATCTTGATTTCAAGATGAAACAAAAATAAGCCATAAGGAAAAAAAAAGGGCGGTACGTGAACAATGGGATTGGTGGTAAATAGTTGTCGGATCATAGTACTTTTCGATTTTCATTATATCAAATAAAATAACGGGAAGCAATTAAAACATTAACTAAATCATGGCTCTTATTCAATCAACAACTACTAACATAAAATGAAAATTTAAAATAAATACATTTTCTTATTGTTTAGAAGCTTTTAGGATCCAAACCATAATCCTTATTATCATATTGCACCTCTTCCAGTGCGGATCCAAGGTTAAAGTAAAGGGGTATCAAAAAATAAAATCGTTTAATATACAATGAAAAAACACAATTTTAATAAGAAAAAAAAATGAATAATTACATTTCCAGTCTTAACATTCTCAACTACAAATCAAAGTACCATTAATAAAATCTCACATGAGTCATACTCAAGTTGTTGTTGGTAAATACGATATCGATGGTGATCTTAAGAGTCAAAAAAGATGTGTAATGTCCATTTCGATTTTCGTTATGTCATTTTTTTTATAGTTAAAAATAATATCAATAATGATAATAATTAAAATAAATCAATTTATTTAATATAAATAAGATTTATATGTCCAAGGGGGTATTGTGCTAATTCTAGAAATAAGTCTGCTAAAGAATTTCGGTTTAAGGGTAGATTCCGTCACAATTAACATCTTCAAGGACTAAAGATGACATTTTTGGAAACTCCTTTGTCTTTGTGTTCTCTAAATAGCAAGCACCGACGCAGGTTCTTTCTCATGGCTGCCATAACTAGGGCTTGAGAAGAAAGCTGTTCTAACACTCGATCTAAACCATCTCGCAGGTATCACGCCTATATATATATATAATATATATATATATATATATATATATATATATATATATATATATATATATATATATGAGTAAAGTGAATATGTGACAGTCATGTATGTAATGTTAGGTATAAAACCATCAAAATCGACTTTATTTTTATTAAAAACATATTTTTCTTTAATCTTTAGCTTCCTATTGCCTTTAAACTTATATTATATTTTATTTCGTGATTTATCTTCGATATTTATCTATTTCAAATGTGTTTTTTATTAGACCTTTAATAAGTTTCATAACTTCCTTCAATACCTATCTTATGTATACTTGTATGAGTTTTCTATGATGTCTTATGGAAAACAGTTTATTGAGTTTTTTTTAATGAATAATTTCAATCTTTCAACGTATTTTCTATATTAAATTTTTATTAGAAGACCTACAAATAGTTGGTAAAATATTTTTATACATGGTTTGTGGTGCTCTTATATATGGTTTGTGGTGGAAAATCAAACTTATAAAATTCCATAAAAATATATACAAAGCTTAGCATAAGTTATAATAGAGGATACAAGAAAGATGGTAGAGAGATTCGATGACATTTTGTTAAAAATATATAGTTTTTTGATGGTTCCATACCTAACATTAGGTACATGACAGCCACATATTCCCTAAGCCCTATATATATATATATATATATATATATATATATATATATATATATATATATAGAGAGAGAGAGAGAGAGAGAGAGAGAGAGAGAGAGAGAGAGTTAGGTTTAAGTATTCTAAGTAATTATTGTGTGGATGTAAGAATGATTGTGGGCGAATCATTTCAAAAAATTTATAATGGATATAATAGTAATCTTAGCACACTTAATTATGGCAAATATTTATAAGATTTTGTATCTTTAAATTAGGGGAATTTATTTATCAACCCTAAAAACCTATCGATCCTTCGTCACCATAAACATATGCAGAAATACTGAAACCCAAATCGACTGGAAACAATTCAATTTTCCCGATTGTCTTGCACAGCGAGATCGTCTTTCAGCTTTCTTCTATTTCGGATCAGTTTTTCTATAGATTGGTCGCCGATTACCTGTTGTCTCCAATAAATCGCCATTGAAATGAACAAATATGCAAAGTTAAAACTTTTCCTTCTTTCTCGATACTTAATCGTCTTCCACCGCCGTTTCCTCATAATGTTAGCAATCAATTTCATTTGGATCGTTCTTCTGTGGTCGATTTCACCTATGATTGTTCTTATGTGGTCGATATATCCATATAAATCGGTCTTACATCTCGTTTTTCTAATCATTGTACAGAAAATCATTGAGGATGAATCGATCTGAGAACATGAAATCTTGAACCAAATGCTGAAACCAACGATGTTAATCTGATTTGAGTTGCAGCCATAAGCAAACACGTTGTAAAATGAAATGGGGTTTAGTAGAAGAAACTGGGGTGACGGGTAGGTGGTCTACATCAGTGATGGTCGCAAGTTAAGATTTTTCCCACCTGAATCGCATCTAAGGTTCAATTCCTTATCAATTTGGCATTTTTCTTGTTTCTGTTTTCCGGCATGAAGTTGTATTTCACCTCGTATTCTACTATTCTTCTAATATATTTTGGTCGTCAAAAGTTGGGCTAAATTGTGTTAATGAGAATTTTTCAGTTCAAGTTGGTTTTTTATTGCCTATTAGGTGTTTGATGGAATGCCTAATAGGTATTTTTGACCAATGCTTGCTCAACAGCCATACACAAGCAAGGAAATTGATGTACCACTTAACAAGGTGCTCAGAAATTTTGGGAGTGATGTAACGCACTATTCATTTAAATAAATTAATAAATGTAAGCCCCGAACTAATTTGTGTAGAATTTTAAAAGTTGGGGGTTAAAAGTGTAAGTTCGGGATTAAATTGAAAAGATTGGAAGGCTTAAGGGGTCTATTGGTAATTAATGGACTTAAATTGAAAGAAATTTATGGGTTTAGGGTTTAAAAGGTAAGTTTTGGATTCAGTTTGTAAAGATTTCTGAAAGCAAGGTCAGTTTGGTATGTTTTGGATGTAATCCGAAAGGATTTCATGGGGAGGGTAATCTGAAAGGATTTCATGGGGAGGGACCAGAAAATGTAATTATGGGAAAGTAGTTATTTTGGACGAGTATATAATCTCATATATGTTGGATTAGTGTCTAAGTCCATAACTATTTTGGTATGTACTTGACCCGATGGTGCATGGTCCTTTTGGGTTGCCTTCACCAAAGCAACTTGATAT